AAGGGTGGGGAACTGTGGTGACAGGTGGGGAGGCTGGAGGGGCGCTGATGGAGGGAGTGGGAGAGGGAAGCAGGGTGGAGCCAGCAGGACAGGGGACAAGAAGGGGCCCCAGTCTTGTCCCTATGACCCTGGCTGGCTGGCTAGGGTGGAGGAGGAAACTGAGGGCCCCAATCCTGTCCCTGGAACCTGAGAGACCCTGAGCTCATCCCCAGAACCCTGGGTGTCTAGCTTGGGGGAACCAATCCTGTCCTCTAGATCCTGGCTGGCTCTTGGGGAGGGGGCTAAGGGCCCTGATCCTGTCCCCAGAGACCTGAGAGGCCCCAATCCTGTCCCCTGGGACCCTGTCTGGGTGGTTCTTGGGGAGGGGGCTGAGGGCCTTGATCCTGTCCCTGAGACTCAAGGGCCTCGATCCTGTCCCCTGGATGGCTCTTGGGGCAGTGAAAGGCCTTGATCCAGCTGGGGCAAATCTATGTCTCTGCCTTTCCACAGAGGACCGGAAACTGGTGTTCGAGCAGCAGGGCCCACTGGTGCTGGTGTCGGTGTCACGCACACGACAGTCGGAGGGGCAGCTGCGCCGGGAGCTGCTGGCTGTGCATGGGCAGATCCTGAGTGTGCTGACACGTGGTGCTATCGCCCGCCTCTTCCAGCGCCGCCAGGGCTATGACTTGCGGCGCCTGTTGGCTGGCTCAGAGCGCCTGCTGGACGGGCTACTGGGCCAGTTGGAGAGCGATGCTGGCTTCCTGCTAGGTGCTGTGCGCTGCCTGCCCCTGGCCCCCGGCCTCCGTGATGCTCTTGGTGCCCTGCTCCAAAAGGCCACTGCCCCCAATCTTGTCCTCTCGCTGCTGCTGGCTGGGCCTGGCTGGGGAGAGACTGGGGTGGTAGAGGGCAAGGGGGGGCAGGGGGTGATGGAGAGGCAGGCAGGGCAGGACAAGGAGGGAGGGATTCAACAGGAGGGGCATAGAGAGCCAGTTCTACAGGGTGGGTCTAGGGATGGGGAACTGAGAGAGGGGGTCCGACAGGGGTCTAGGGAGGAGTCTCAACAGGGGATACCTAGGGAGAGGAAGCTGAAGGAGGAGCCTCAACAGGGGGTACCTAGGGAAGGGCTCCAAGTGGGAGTCCTGAGTGAGGGGGTTCAGGAGGGGGGGTTCAGCAAGCGGACTCAGCAGGGGGCCCCAGGGAAGAGGGTCCAGCAGGGGGTGCTGAGGGAGGAGCCTCAGCTTATGGTGCAAAGAGAGGGGGGTCAACAGGAGGTGTCCAGGCAGGGGGAAGTGAGTGAGGGCTCTCAGCTGAGGGTACCTAGAGAGGGCTTTCAGCTTGGGCTACAAAGGCAGGATTCTCAGCTGGGGGATCCTAGGGAGGGCTCTCAGCCAGGGCTCCCAAGGCAGGATCCTCAGCCAGGGGCTGCTAGGGAGGGCTTACAGCCAGGACCCCTGAGGCTAGATTCTCATCTGGGGTGGCCAAGGGAAGGTCCCCGTAGTCGGGGGGCACCGCTGGGGCAGCTGCAGCTGGTGGCTGCGGCACAGGAGTGAGCAGTGCTAGAGGAGTGTCGCCTGCACCCCAGTGACCTGCAGCTACTGCTG